AATAGAGAAAACATTGAAACCTGTTGTGTTGAAAAGAATATTTTACTTTATTTAAAACGAAGTTTGATAAACAAACATGAGAAAGCTAAAACGCTTAATCTGTTTAATAATTGAAATTAAACCATTTTCCCCAGCTGCAGCATTAGCAAAATGGCTTGGGCATAATTATGTAATTAACAGTGAGTTTCCATTAGCAACTGGTAGTCAGCAGAAAGATTTGCATTGACCCAGGTGGTCCACGGGGCGCACGGTGGGGAAAGCCTCATCTCCCTCCCAGGAGGGTGGCATGGTCCAGGGTAGGAGGGTTAAAAAGGATGCCGACCCCTGATCTAGCCAAACTGGAGAAAACCCAGAGAAGAGCAACAAAAAAATCACTGACGGTCTCAAAAACATGACCCCGAGGAAAGACAGGAAAAGATGGGTTTGTTTAATCTGGAGAAAAGACAGAGGGGGCACGATAATAATGCATGTGCAAAGCCCCCTGGGCGCACAACACAGATGTGCATGTGGCCCCAGCAGTTGCCATTTTGAGTGGCGTGTGGGGGCACAGCAGGTAGGGAGTCTGCATGAGGGTCTTGCTGCATTGCAGGAGGGGAGCAGATTATGGTAAGCATTTCCCAGCCAGAGCTTGCACTTGGCACCCCGCTCCCTCCTTTCCCCCCACAACTCCCTGTCCTAAGTTACAACCCAAAACCTCTGCACCCCTGCCCCTGGTCACAACTACATTTAAACTACAGAGCCAAAGCGGGGATAAGCTTCCAGACCCCGTGCGAACCAGGACTGAGCTGGGATTGCTCAGTCCCGGCTCATATCGGGTCCAGCAGCCCCGTCCATGGGGGGCCCCAGCTCCCCACTGGGATCCCCATGAACAGAGGCTGCTACCAGAGTAGCCTCTGCCCATGGCAAGCCTGGGCCCACTGCAGTTACCGGCTGCTCCCTGGCAGCCTCCCCTACACCCTCCCCACTGCTGCCTCTAACAGGCAGCATCGGAGATGGTGCAAGGAAGCACCTGCTTTTAAGTCGGTTTCCCCCAGCACTGGCTCCTGTTCCGCCCCCCCTTGCTGCCTTGGATACAGAGGCAGCAAGGATGGGGGGGAAAGCAAGTAGTCAACTCAACTACCCAATAAACCTAGGCTTATGAAGTAATCGACTACTCTTACATCCTGCACCTCAATCCTCTACCCGAGCTCCCTTCTGCACCCAACCTCCTTCCCAGACCCCAGCACCTCCTCCATTAAAATAGTGATTTGTAATCACTTACAAATTCCTAACTAACAATTAAATAGCAGAATGAACAAGAGATGGGAGTTAGGCATGTAAAATACCACTTAAATAGTCAGTTAACCGACCAAATGTTTAACTAACGGGATCCTCGGTGGAAGCACCGCTCCAGGCCAGCTGGAGCATCCCTCAAGCCCGCGGGTCTCCTACTCCCAGCCCTATGCAGGCTGGCTGCCAGGGCCGGCTCCCAGCGCCAGCCCTGGCTCCCAGCGCCAGCCCTGTGGGGCTAGAGCAGCATGCCACAGGTGAGGGGCTGCTCCCTGGGAGCCAGATAACTGTTATCCAGTAAGCATCACCCAGTAAGGATGATGTTGACTAGATAACCAGTTACTTGTCCACATCTCTAGTTAGAGTATAATTACACCTCTCAATAAAAAATAAAATAAAAAATAAAAATCAAGGAAATAGAGACTGTAAACATGATTAAGTGATTTCAGGATTATACAGGAGAAAAGATTAAGTGACCAAAATACATCTCTGACCACTCTTCCCCAAACAAACTTTCCCATTATACCATTTTCCATCCTTAAACTATCTACACAAGTTTACTTGCAAACCATTCTGACAAGCACTAATATTTGTGTATGACCAATACTGTAAAAGTACATTTAAGTTTGTTACTTTAAAACCTAAAACTCTGCAGCTGAGAAGTGTTCGTAGTTATAGGATTTAAACACACTAAGATAGAACCTTTGTGATCTCTGCCATTTGCTAACAATCATAAATCGTATGGACTATTTCCATTGGTTACTGTTCAGCCTAACAGCCCAGAAGAAATCAGCACTGTAAACAAAACACTCTCTCCATAGCATCAGGCCATTCAACTTTTCAACAGTATTTATTTTTCACATTTTTCCTAAGTTGAATAGCAGCAACAGTGACCTTCAGGTCAGGCATTTCATGGCCATTAATGACCAGACTGCTAAAGACCTCCAGATTCAGTTTCAGCTATCACATCACCCAGGCAGTCATTAAGCAATAATGATTTCCTGGTAGCTAATGTTGAGTTGTCATTAATGAGAGTGCCAATAAAAGGCAATGGCATAAACAGACAAAGTGTTTATAACAAATAGGAAGTGCTAGCTTCTGTGCTACACAAAATGAGCAATCCTGGGAGGGTGCAGGAAAAGGAATGCCAACAGTTACTTGATACTAACTTTAGATTAGGAGCAAAAAAGTTCAGTTCTCTTGAGTTTTGCAGAAAATATGATGAGAAACAGTACGTAAAAGGCACAGTTTCCAAATGTTCTGAAAACAGCAGCAGCCACGTGACAAGAAAGCTTTGAGCTTCAATTTAAAGACTAAAAGAGGCAGGTGCTGGCAGTTGGATGACAACACTATTCAGCTTCTTCACTGTGATTACTTGCACAGAGTCACAGCATAAATAAGGCACAGCCACATTTGCTAGATATAAATCAATTCGCCATAATATCAAAATGTAACTAATCGTACACCTTAGCACAACACATAATATCACAAATCTGTACAATTTCTTAGTGCTTTGGGTTTGTTCACAAGTGAGAAGACGTGTCTTTGTTGAATGCCTGTACTGTGCCTAGCAAAGTGAGTGGAAGACCACCCTGAGTGGGGCCGCATCCATCACACACACAAACACACTGCAAAAAAGTCAAAGGAGCCCCAGCTCTGCGGTTGCTGAGGCTCACAGGGTGGCTACTAGCTGTATTCCCTCCCTCAGCAGGCTCATCCCAGGTACAGCTAAAGATCAGGCCAGAGCTCCAAACCCGGGGGAAGAGGGGGCTCCCTGCTCTACCAAGGAGTCTGCCCGGTTACATGAAGCCCCGTGTGTAGTTACCCAGCCTAAGTGGAACAAACGGGAACCGGGACTGTGTGTTCCACGGAGCCTGCGCCCCGCAATGCAGGGAGCAAAGCGGTC